GTCAATAATGTCTATTAATAATCAATACTTTTGTTAGTAATATTTTTTATGCAACGTTATCAATCGCACAATAAGAGAAATGAAACAAAACATCGATGAAACAACGATGCCAGTTCACCTAAATCCAAGCACAGGTTTAAAAGCTGAATGGACGATGAATAAAATGCGTAATGAGGTGTTGCGGAACTTTGAAATTTTAACAATTCGAAATACTGTGAAAATATGTTTACGTAAGGAATTCCTTTGCAATAAATGGAATAAAATGAAACATAAAAATAAATATTAATTATAAATTAATAAATGAGGGTAACAAAAAGCAACAGCTTTGTAAGAAGTAATGGTGACGTGAGGAATGCAAGATCGATACAGAGGTGTGGTAGGCATAATTGATAAGACGTCGGAATGCTTAATGCTGCTAATCCGCTCAATGTTAATTCCGTGCAACGTGACAACTTGTGACGCGCAGCGCGCTCGTTATGACGAGCTGACTATCTCTTATGGGGACACACGATGATAATTCAATTACGGTCGGGTACACATGTTGAATAGTTCGTGCGCATGAATATTGGTTTCGCATGCAGAACGGGGACGGGACCACACATGCTATATTTACCCTAATGAATAACGAATGCGCACCTTGTAAAAGTGTATGCCCCAAGCGACGTTTAAGGCGATCTGCTAACCAGATTGATACAACAGCTGCTCGTGGATAAACCAGGAACATTTATCCGCGCATCAACGGCTCTTTCACTCGGATCCTTTTCAAATATGAAAAGTCCCCTCGAGCGAGAAGGTTTCCCTTTCCGCAATCTTCCGCCTTAAGATACACTGGCCTATTTAATAATCTCTTTTTATGCGGAAGAAAAATCATGCAGTAACATCAGCCACGATTCCATGACTTGTACTGAAGACGGGATTTCGATTCGACAAATCAAGAAAGTCGTCTCGCGTTATTTTATCTTCGTTGAATAACGTAAAAGTGAGCGAGATGAAAAATATTTAATAAACACGAATTTTTACATTTTAATCTTAGGTATTTTTCAATTACGATAACCGTTTTGATTAAATCCGGAGATACGTATGAAATGTTGGCGCACGTTTCTTACACTACATTTAACTGAAAAGGATAACGACCAATTTTATTTTGGATATTATTTTCTCCGAGCGTGGACTGCATTCATTAAAATACAAAGGTTTCTGCATATTAACGAGCAGATATCATATCAAGTTACCTATTTTGTCTGATAATATCGTTACAAATTAATTTGTATTTTGCAGCGTAGGCATGGGTTGCATAAAAACGCATCATTAATTCCGTATTATACTATAAAGTATAACGCAATTGTATGAATTGTTTCCGCAGTGATGGAACAACATTTTACAATTAGACATAATTAACTCATTACAATTACAGTTAATTAGTCAGTTCTTCAACACTAAGAAACTTTTTATGCGTTCTACATATCCCTTTTTTTCATTCATATCAGATATTTCATTCATAATTGCCGAGTTTTGGAGATGAGTCTTCTTGTGGATCAATACAAGATTGTATTTTCAGTTTTGAAAAAAATTGCAAAAACGCTTCGGCACTGTAGGATACATTAGATTGCATCGTATATTGTACGAAATTAAGACAGTGTTCAAGTTGTTGATCTGAGCTAAAAATCGCTCGCACAGTGAACGAATAAATTATTTTCTACAGTCTTCGCGTTTGTTGTTCCCTTGTTATCGTACATGAGTAATCCGGAACTTCAACTTTTCGTCTCTCGATCCGCCCTTTCGTTGCGTGTACCTTCTAAAGATGCAGCAGATTATGTACAAACCTTCGCTTGTAGGATACGTTCTGAGAACCCTTTTGCGTTATCCTTCTGGTTGGACGGTATCAACAGTCGATACATGGAAAACGTTTTTAGTGGTGCAGGATGCTCCCTCGAGAAGCGTAACGAATATCGTACAATCGCGTTTCCTTGTGTAACAACTGTATGCATTGAAATGTTTTCAGAAGTAAAGGAAAAACTTGTGCAAATATTAGGAGTAGGTACCTGCTAAAAATGCTCTCTAACGTTGTAACTCTGTGAGATATGTAGCGCTGTAGAGAGAAAGAGCAAAGAGCTAGAGAACTGAAGAGCTCTTAATTACAAAATGTATGAAGCAAAAATCCTCCTGCAGAATATAGGGCTTAAACATGTAATAATTTAAGGATCTGAAACTTCATTCCTGCTAAGTTCTTTCTTTTTGTGCTTGCGGTAATTTCTGGAAATCGAAAAATACATGTATAGAGCGTATGGTATATGTAAAATGGCGAATAAGAACCCGGGAAATTTTTTCTTACGTAACTGTCATGTTTTCAAATTTGTTTTCTTTCTTTTGAATAATCTTCACTCGTATGTATAAGAAAAATAACAAGAAAATAATTGAACAATAATTGAAAAATAGCTTTTGCACTGTTTTTTTATATTATAGTATTTTAATTATATAATTAGATTTTATATACGATTATTACATATCTGGGCAATTTTTCTCATCTCCTCAAATTTCACTTATTTGTAAAAAAGATAAAACCTATTCTTTTAATTATTTTTTAATCCTTCTCATTTTTCTATATACGAATGTAGATTATAAAAGTATTTTATATGGGCAATTTTTCTCATTTCCTCAAATTTCACTTATATTTGTAAAAAAGATCTAAAACCTATTATTTTAGTTATTTCTCAATTCTCCTTCTTATTTTTCTCTGTAGGAACGTAGATTACACAAGAGAAAGATATTTTCTACAATTACACATAAAATTAGTTTGTGTAGGATCAAGGATACACAAATGTGATAAGCAAAGGAGTCACATTTCCATGTATATCGTTATGTATTTACAATTTGACAACAAAACGTTAAACATAACAGGTAGCCTCGCCCTCGGCCGGAAAGTATAATCGAGGTATCGTTCTAGGAGAGCGCGAGGCCAGAGAGAGCTAAAGGTCTCACATAAATATATAATAATATCCGTCATATAATAATTTATTACAATGTGTAATATGTGTATAATATATATAATATGTTATTTAAATTTCTTAAACATCTGCTTAACTGTCCGACGTAATTTTCATCTCGTCTTCTTTCTCTCTCCCCGATTCCCCCTCTCCCGCTCACTTTTACTTACTATTACCAGCTTTGTTCCTTAATCTTTAATATATTCGGATTGTCCCGTACTTGATGATGATATCGTACAACGCCCACAATATTTTACTTTACGCTTGCGAATGCTGCTAAAATTTACGTTCGGCGATATGGCGTCGTTTCTCTCCTTGTGTGTTTTTTTTTTCAAAATTCCAATCACGAACGCACCTGAATCGTTTCGCCAATTTTTTTTGCTGTCAGACATCACGGCTCCAGGGTATTTTGACATTCTTCCCTCATCCACGTTTTTATGAGCAGGTGTTTTTTGCAGCCAATTTGGGATCTTTCCGCTCTACGAATTCGAGTTAGTTCAATTACAAAAGTATAAGATCCTTCTAGGACGGTAAGATCCTTTGATTATGAGGACCCAAGGATTCAAGGATTTCAGGAGCTAACTAAGCCACTTCGTGGCCGCGATCGTCTTGTTTTGCTCAGAAAGCAAGCAAAATGCAGCCTTTGACGTCATATCCAGCAAAGGCGCATATGTACAAAACTTTGACTTTCCTCTATCGATTTATCGATATATGGTTCCTTGCGAAGAAGATTTTGATAACATTCACACTTTATTTATCCTTTAATCTTCAAACTTAAAAATCTCAACACAACTTTACAATTATTACATATTTAATCTTAAAAACGTTAGGAGATTTATTTCACGTGAAAAGGTAAACTAGTCGAAAGGAGATTTTATTTCATTAGTAAATCAACTTTTCGAGTTTCCGCTGCTTTTTGCATTGATACACGTATACTTTGTCCAACACTTTTAAATAAATATATTGATTTTGTGAGTCTCGTGAAATCTGAAAAGAATTGCAGTATGTGTATGTGTGCACGTGTGTGAGCTTTCCGTATTGATTTCTGTAGTCCTGTGGCAGTGTATTACGCATAGTAGTTTTATGTTAATCTTTATTTTACACCTATATATATGTATATATTTATACAAAAGAAAGATAATCACATACCATGTATCCGATGGAAGTTGAACTTTGAAGAATCTATGGCCACATGGTTAAATACATCGGATCGTTTCGTGGTGTTTTTCGCGAGAAGGTTCCGAAGGAGATCGACTTACGTCGCGTACGACACGTCTGAATGTAAAGCACGTTATTCAACAAGGTTCATCGCACTGTAAAAATGCCGAGATTCCAAAGGAAGTATCAAAAGATATGAAAGTACGAAGAATAAAAATTTCAAGTCATATTTAGTACAAGGAGACAATTGTGCTAAAGGAAGAAAATTAGAAAGATTCCGTGACAATGATTTAAAATTGTCCGGTCCCGTTATATGTATATATAAAACACATATGCGTGTAGATACGCGTACACGGAGAGGGTACGAAGATCATGCTATGTGCGTATCATGTATCATAATTCATATGTGCAATACATACGTTCGCAATGGGGCCACCTGCATGGCAGTCGCATTAACTAGAGCAACGATAACGAGCGATACCGCTGGCATCAACGATTCCCTTTCACGTTAGTCCCAATTCATGTACGATTAAATACGATTAAGTACAGAACTTAATATATATATGTAATCAAACACACGGAGAGAAATTTCTTTTAAAATCTGCCCTAAAAATCGTGTAATCGTGGGGCAACGTGGCATTTTGGGAAACTTTGTGAGAGTTTTTTGAAATTTTACCATACTTTTTACTAGTAATTATACTTTACACATTTCACTAGTAAAATGTATGATAAAATTTCGAAAAGAGAGTTCTTTGAAACCTTACCATACTTTTTACTAGCAATTATACTTAGTATACATTTTGCTGGTAAAATTTCCAAAAACTCTCTTAAAGCTTTTCAAAATGCCACGTTGTCCCACGATTGCGCGACTTTCAGGATAAATTTGAAGAGAAAATTCTCTGCGTGCACACAAGATGTTTCACATAAGAGAGAAATTTAGAATTTAAAGATACGAAAACCGAAAGTTCGAAAAATCTATTAGCGTCGATGAACAGACTCACTCGTTATGCTCTCGAAATATTTGTCCTACGTTCATTTTTCCCTACATTACAACAACACGACGTCACGCGTGGATATCAACACACCAACCTGAAAAGAAAATGATAAACGATACGCGTGATGCAAATACAGTTCTCTTAGAAAGTAGCAAACTTTGGCGTCCTTATGGTATATATAAATTCATGTTATGTACAAGGAACATCTAACATTGTAGTGGCTAGAGTGTTTCTTTTTTTTACATCTTCATTGTCGTCAATTCGTATTGAGCCGTCCACCACTTTTCTCTCTTCTTTAACGACTAGAGATTCTTCATTATCGACTAATTAGCGAAATGCGTGGCTTTGATTCCTTCGCGCAAAATTTGATTGAAACTTCAATTGATCCAGGATGATCGCTTCATTTGCCATCTTTCTTCCTTATGTGATTCCGCGAATGTTTACCAACGTCTACCGAATATCGAAGAGTCCCGTGTAAGACGCTGTTTATTTGTACTGCTTCTTTCGTCTATTAAAGTTAAATGATGACTGAGACTGCGAAGAAATTTCTTTAGAAACCTTTCGCGTACTTTTTCCAAACCGTAAACGTCCTTACGTCTATGTTTCTGTCGATCATTTTGATTACGCAAAATCGTTTTCGGGGAAACTTCAGGTCTCCATTGTCCTGCCGAAACACATTCTGAGCGTCATATCTTGCAATTCGAAGAGAGCTCTGTGAGATTGGGGAACGAGATCTCAAATTCATGTATCTTCAATTCGTATTTTCTCAGGCAATTTCTACCCTTCTAAATTCGTAATAGCACATTTCGGTGAGCTCTTCCTCTTCTATTCGGTAGACCCGGTAATCTCGGCTCGACCATCCCTCAGTTGTGAGGAAGTCACTCTCCAGCACCCCCCTCCGTTCGTCCGGAGCTCACGTTCCCTGGGACATCCTGCGTCGACCCGTCGAAATGTTAGCAGCCGTTTAAGGCCACTTCAACAGGTCCGCGGCGAACTGCCTAGAGCAAGGTCGACGCCGTGAGGACATCTGGGACGACTGGCTTCGGAGGGGGGTCCAAGCATCACACTCGCATCTCGCTCATCGTCGCCTGCGACACGCGGCTAGAAACCGTCGCGCTTTGCAGAAGAGGCTGGTTCTCCGGCGGACTCTTTGCCCTGGGCGGCGGGGGTGCCCGCGGGACCGTCAAATGGATGGATCCGTTTGGAGGACCCTGAAAGATAAAATCGGTCAGTACTTGGAATTCATTTTGTAAGAAACATTTTTAACAATAGTGAGACTTATTTGACGACTTGAACGGGCCAAGTAGTTTATTTAATAACTCATTCCAACGCTTCGACCATCCGAATTGTGGTACTTTTCGAGGAAGTAAAATGCATAGAGTAAAGGCACTTAATATCGCCTAGAACGTGACATCGCCACTTGTGATATCTCGCGAACAAAGTGCTGATAGCAATCGGCAATACATAGAATTAGTAGCTAAACGTGTGTAAGAGGACATATTGTAGTTACAACGTTAGAGAAATAATGTCTGACTCAGGAGACGCATTAAAACGAATTTTGAGTGCCGAAAAATTTAGCAGACGGTGCAAGTTCGACATCTTATAGTGAAAATGCAAGTTCAAACATTCTTTTAAGGTATAAATATTTACTAGGAATACACAATTAGTGATGATATACTTCACTATTTTCAAGTGATTTCAACGTGTATGTTTTCGTTACGATGTTTTTAGTGTCTGGATTAGGATGCACGAAGGTGTCCGTAATAATGTGTGCCTAGGCGACATTATGTGTATGTATTTTTAAGAATAAAAAAAGAGTACAAATTGACTCGATGTATAAATATTTTGACATAGTGTGTTACATTATATAACATGTTTTAAACATAAGCACAAATTAAAACATTTTTGGACACCTACAAACGTTTATACGACGTAAAATAATAAATATCTGTAGCTTCACAAACTCATACATTTTGATGAACAATGATTTTATAAAAATTTATAAGGTAAGCGATAATAGGTGCCATTTTTTCAAACTCCCGATTTTTTATTCTTTTTAACGTGGATTAAAGTTGCTCAGATTTTAACCATTTTAACCTATTGTTCATGAAACACAAATATTTCCTCTGTCATTTGAGACGAAATATAGACGAAAATGTCAATTACTCTTTCAGTGAGAACGATTTGAATTTTGGTAGGCGATATTAGGTGCCATTTCTTCAAACTCTCAATTTTTTTAACGTGGATTAAAATTGTTTAGATTTTAACCATTTTAACCTAGTGTTCATGAAAAGCAAATATTTCCTCTTTTATTTGAGACTAAATATAGTACACTGTAAATCGTGTACCGCCAAAAATTGGAGGTACACGTCAAAATAAAAAGTATACGTAAATATGAGGTACATATAGGTCCACCAAAATAGGAGGGAAGACAGTACCTCGAAATTAGGAGTCATATTTTGAGGAGGTCCATTATTTATTATTAATGCCGATCACAGAAACATGTCTTGTTGGTGGATGCCCACAATATAGACGTAAAACGGAAGATTGATCCACATTATGTAATTTGCGAATGTACTCTGTACATTCGCAATTTAATTCTTAGCACTGGCCACGAAAAATGCCTCGAATATCTATATTACAAAACGCATCCATAATGTATGTAACAGATATGAAACACTTCATGTCTTTAGCCGACGCGATTACGTAA